AGACCAGCTCGAAGGCTGGGTGACTGGGCAGCCGCGGGCGCCCTGCGTCATCGACCAACCTCGCATCGCACGTGGCAGACTTCGTCGCTCCAGGCCATTGGCTGTCTAGAACTGCGCCGCCCACTCGCCCGCCATGGGCCGCAACAAGAAGCCCTTGAGCGCACTGGCGGAGGCACCCGGTAACACCGGCAACGGGAAACTTCAGCGCGTGTACGACGCGCTGTTGCAGTCGGACGCGACGACGCCTCTGAATGAGCCCCGTCGGTTCGGCATGGCCCTCACTGCTGTGTACCGGCGCGCCCTGTCGGACTTGGCGAGCGAACAGGCTTTCGAGTACGGGGAAAATCTCTTCATGGCCGGAGAGTCGTTAGCTACGTACGTGACTCTACGGGACGGTCTCGAAGAGAGCCCGCGGGTGACGAAGATAGCCGACTCGCCCAACAATAACCTCTCAGAGAACAAGACAATGAGGGACATCGTGAAGCGCTTGCGGCTACACGCCGCCAAGAAAACTAGCGGCGCCGACCCTTTCTTTGATCGCCTGAAGAAGTTCGTGCAGCCAACGAAGGACAAGCTGGGCAAGACCTGCTTGTTCGGAGTCGAGGGCGACGACGACGTGCCGGTGGTGCGCGAGCTCCTGGTGAAATTGCTTTTGGTGCTCGCAGTGAGGTCGGAAAGCCTTTTGGCTCTGTTTGAGGGGTCAGATTTTTCCGTCGCGAAGCCAGACTGCTTGCCGCGCCTGTACCAATGCTGTTTGGACAATGGGTATCCCTTCCCTGGGCTCCGCGAGCACCGGGGGAGGAACGTCCACGCGACGGAGCAGAAGGCATGGGGGATGGGCCGCCTGGTGGATGCCATCCTGTTCCCGTTATGGGCCAACCCGACATGCTTCGACAGCCTGCTGGAGAGCGCGGAAAATTTGCATTTCTGCAAGCTCTTCCGCTCCGGCCTGGTCTTCAGCCACACTTACGAATATTATTGACGCTTCGCGTCTCCTCGCCAGCCCATCCAGAATCGGTGCCCAGGCGAGTCGAGGAGACCAGGTGCGCGAGGGAGCACGCGGAGGAATAAAGAGGGGAGGGCGGATGAGGAATAGGAGGAGGGGGGGGGGGGAGGAGGAGGAAGAGGAGGAGGAGGAGGAATGCGGGGGAGGAGGGAGGAAGCAATAGGGGAAGCTGGGAGAGGCAACGCTGCAAACCAGTTCGGCCCAGAGGGCCGGTGGGATTTGTACCTCCTCTTGGCGAACGAGGCCTTGGCGGCGAAGTGCCTCGTGGACGGCCCAGTGGAGTCCGGCAAAAACGGAAAAGCTTTCCTGGCGATGGTCAGCGCGCGCCCTGCCGGGGCAGACGAAGTCAAGCCGCGGGGCTGGCCAATCGTCACGAAGGTGGTTTAAAAGCACCTTCCGGACGGGTGCGAATTCAACGTCTTCGAAGCTCAGTCGAACTCATGCAAGTTCATTCAAGTGTCCCAGACGCTCTTCTCGGGCTCCTTGATGGGCAAGGAGAGGAACAAAAAGACGCTCGTGGTCGGCAAGAAGGTGCGCAAGCTGAAGAAGGGGCGCCCCAGACGGCGGCAGGTGGCGGGCGGGGCGCGGAAGCGTCCAGCAGCGGCAATGTCGCGTTCACGTGCGCGCCGGATCGAGACTGGCAGGCAAAACAAGCCATAAAATCCGGATCTTGAAGCCATGTGCACGCCGACTCTGGAGCGGGAACGCGGCGAAACCTCGGCATGCCCACCCAGTTCTTTGGTAACGGAGGCAAGAGCCCTTAAGTGCAAGCATTGTTGTGGGAATGTGAAATGCAGCTCTCGTTGAGGCCGCGCGTCCTGCAATCTCAAAATGCAGCTCTCGCAGAGGCCCTGGCGGTCCATTGTAGAGAGCGCGCGAGGGTCACGTCTTTCAGTATCAAAATGCAGCTCTTGCTGGGCCCCTGGTGATCCTGGGTGGAGAGCGTGCGAGGGTTGGAACTTCACAAAACTGAAAGTGAAGCTCTGGCTTGGGCCCCAGCAGTCCAGGGTGGAGAACGCGCTGTTGCATCATGCACTCTGAAAGTTCAGCTCTCCCTGAGTCCCTGGCGGGCAAAAGCTTGGAACATGAAACACATTACAAACAATGTTCGCCAGCTTGGGCCACAAGTACCACTACTACTACTACTACTACTACTACTACGACTACTACTACTACTACTACTACTACAACTACTACAACTACTACTACTACTACTACTACTACTACTACTACTACTACTACGACTACTACTACTACTACTACTACTACTACTACTACTAATACTACCACTACTACTACTACTACTACTA